AATAAAAATTACCTGTGACGTCAGGTGCGGCTGCTCACCTGAACATCCCAGCCTTTGGAAGGTCGGGCCATGGTGGATACCTGACGGTTCAGGAGGTCGAGACCAGCCTGGCCAACATAGTAAAACCTTGTCTTCACTAAAAATACAAAAATTAACCCGGTGTTAGTGGTGGGTGCCTGTAATCCCAGCTACTCAGGAGACTGAGCAGGAGAATCTCTTTGACCCAGGAGGTGGAGGTTGCAGTGAGCAAGATCATGCATTGCACTCCAGCCTGGGCAACAGAGCATGAGCCTTGTCTCAAAAAAAAAAAAAAAAAAATCAAATTATTGTGACAATCAACAAAAGGAGAAAGCAACCCATGGAATAGGAGAAAATGTTTGCAAATCATATATTCAATAACAGTGTATCCAAAATAAATAAGGAAGTCATGCAACTCAATAACAAAAAAAAAACCCGAATAACCCAATTAAAAAATGGGCAAAGGACATGAATAGACATTTTTCCAAAGAAGACATACAAACTGGCTTGACAGGTACGTGAAATGACTAACAGTGATGTAGTCAACATCACTAATCATCAGGGAAATGCAAATCAAGACCACCATGAGATATCACCTCACAACGGTTAGGGTGACTATTACCAAAAAGGCAACAAATAACAAGTGTTGGCAAGGATGTGGAGGAAAGGGAACCCTCAGAAATTATTGGTGGGAATGTAAATTGGTACAGCCATTGTGGAAAACATTAGGGAGGTATCTCAGAAAAATAAAAATAGAACTACCATAAGATCCAGCAGTCCTACTTCTGGGTATATATCCAAAGGAAATAAAATCAGTATCTCAAAGAGCTATCCCATGTTCACTGCAACATTATTCACAGTAGCCAAGATGCAGAAACAACTGAAGTGTTCATCCACAGATGAATGGATAAAGAACATGTGTATATATTACATAGTGTGTATATATATATATTTTAATTGTTTTTGAGATGGAGTCTCACTCTATCTCCCAGCCTGTAGTGCAATGGCGTGATCTCCACTCACTGCAACCTCTGCCTCCTGGGTTCAAGCCATTCTCCTGCCTCAGCCTCCTGAGTAGCTGGGATTACAGGCATGAGCCACCACGCCTGGCTATATTTTATTTATTATATATAATATATATTTCCTTTGGATATATACTTTTCTTTCGTGGCTTGTTAATATATAATATATAAACGTAAAATATATATATAATATACACATATAATGGGATGTTATTCAGCCTTAAAAAAGAAGGAAATTCTGCCATTTTCTACAACATGGATGAACCTGGAGGATGAGAAGTACAGCTATTGCATGATCTCGCTTACATGTGGAATCTTAAAAAGTCGAATTCATAGAAGCAGAAAGTAGAAGGGTGGTTACCAGGGGGATGGGGTGGGGGAAAAGGGATGATGTTGACCAAAGGTTACAAACTTTCTGTAATTAGATGAATAAGCTCTAGAGATCTAATGTACAGGATAGTGACTATAGTAAATAATACTGTATTGTATACTTGAAATTTGCTAGTGGAGGAGATCTTAAGTATTCTCACCACACACATACACATGTATCTCTGTGAGGTGATGAATATGTTAATTAGCTTGACTAAAGTAATCATTTCACAGTGTATATGTATAGCAAACGATCACCTATACCTTGAATGTATACAATTCTTGTCAATTATACCTCAAAAAAAATTGTCGTAAAATATATTTTACAGACAAGAGTGTGTATTATGTATATATACACAGTGAAACAATAATAATTATTCTGGCTGGGCACAGTGGCTCATGCTTGTAATCCCAGCACTTTGGGAGGCCAAGGTGGGTGGATCACTTGAGGTCAGGAGTTTGAGACCAGCCTGACCAACCTGATGAAACCCCGTCTCTACCAAAAATACAAAAAATTAGCCTGTAATCCCAGTTACTTGGGAAGCTGAGGCAGGAGAATCGCTTGAACATGGGAGGCAGAGGTTGAAGTGAGCTGAGATCATGCCATTGCATTCCAGCCTGGGCAACAAGAGCAAAACTCCATCTCAAAATAATAATAATAATAATAATAATACTTTTTCTTACTTTCCTGGTTTAGAAATCCAACATTACCAGCCTGAAACCACAGCCTCTCTTTGTCTTTCCTTGGGATTTTTGTTGAACTTTTTTGAAAACCCAGCCTCTCTTTGTCTTTCCTTGGGATTTTTGTTGATTTTTTTTTTTTTTTTTTTGAGACAGTAGTAAGGATTCTTATTGTCAGAACAAGAGATCATAGTAGAAGACACAATTAAATTAATTTTCTGATAATTTCAGACTCCAGGGCCTCTCTACGGAAAGTTCAGCTTCTTATTCAGAGAAGATACTATCCAAAACAAAAAACAGGCATTTGAGACAGTGTTCAAGACAATGACTGAACTTATACATGGTAAGGAGAAATAAAAAGGCAGTTTCAGCTGGGCATGGTGACTCACGCCTGTAATCCCAGCACTTTGGGAGACTGAGGCGGGCAGATCACTTGAGCTCAGGAGTTTGAGACTAGCCTGGCCAATATGGTGAAACTCCATCTCTACCAAAAATACAAAAATTAGCAGGGTGTGGTGGCGTGTACCTATAGTCCCAGCTATTTGGGAGGCTGAAGCAGGAGAAACGCTTGAACCCAGGAGACGGAGGTTGCAGTGAGCCAAGATGGCACCACTGCACTCCAGCCTGGGCAACAGAATGAGACTCCATCTCAAAAAAATAAATAAATAAAATAAAAAGGCTGTTTCCCTATTTCCTTTAGTGTGTGTGTTTTGCATAAAGGGATGAGGCTCATTTTGGTGAAAAATGCTTTCATACAGAAAATTTTGAATTCTTTTGCCTCCCCCATTGCAGACGTTTCAGGCCCTGAACTGATCAAGGAAATCAAAATAAGGTAACACTGGTTTCACATGAACCTCAAGACTATAATCTAACAGTACCTACCAACTTTAAAGAAAGTTTAAAGTCCATTTACCTATTCCAAATCAGTAGACTAAATTTTCTCTTTTTAGGAAGTTTTTAACCAAATTGGAATTAACTTAATCTCACTTTAAAGTGAAAGAAAGGCTTTGCAAGACTAACTAGTGTTTGTTCTGTGCCTCCCCCAGGACTGGCCTAACAGGTACCACATGAAGAACTGGCTGCAGAACAGTAATCCATTAGATCTACCAAAAGGAACGGGACATAAGGTTCAACCTAGAAAGAGGGGTTGCTGTCAAGTATGACTCTTACCAGACAACCCAGGTCCCAAACAGATCTAACTGAGAAGGCTGGAGCACAGCATCAGTAGTCAACAGGGCCAGAGTCATCTCAACGAGTCAGTGAGCTTTGTTGAATTTATTTATTTATTTTTTAATCTTGGCAAAAGTAGTGACTTTAATTTACAATTGCATATGTCAAGATTACAATGGAAACACTAGTGATACCATCTGAACAAAAGCAATGATTTATTGGTCATGGCAATGAATGAAACATTGACAGTCTCCGGCGAGAATCAAGCAATTATCCAGGAGCTGTAGATCTGATTGCAATATGGTTGTCCAGTGTCTTTTGCACGTTAGTGGCTTTCTCCTTTTTGCCAACTACTCGTTTGAAGTCATTCATATTTGTTGTCTGGACTGGAGTACCAATAAAAGTAAAATATGAAATTCTTGTTGTTTCCTCTTCACCTTGATTCGACTGAACAAATATAGTTACACTGTTAGCATTCTGAAACTTAACATAAGGAAGTGGAACAATGCCATCTTCTTTAATATCATCCTCTGTCAGTTCCAGAGCTTAAGTTGGTTCACTTCTTTCTGCCTCTTCAAAATCCATAGATCGGGGTAGGTTGATAAAAATTTTTACATATTTAGGGCCCTGACCATTATCTGGTCCTTTAAATTTCATGGAATAAAGCTTAACAGGTTGATTGAATGCCATAGTAATAAGTAGCTGTTCATCACAGTCAGATTCCAAGAAGGTCGTGTCTTCCTAAACAGTTGTCAAATCCATGCTCATCACTTTCATTAAGACATTCACAACCAGCTTTGTTAATAAAAGGCATGAAATCCATATAGCCTTTTGGAATATCTGTGTCTTCACTGCTTCCAGGGTCATTTTCTAAGTGCTGCTTGATTTTTTCTTCCAATCCCACAGCATCTGCTCCTTGATATTGATCAATTCTCACTTTGTTTCGAAAACACAAAAATGTAGGTGTTACTGATATATTGTTGCAGCTGTTCCCTGACATTGACGTACATCGACTTCCAAGAAAACAGCCTGTGGATATTTATTACTCAAAAAACTGAATGCTGGGGCAATCCTCAAACATGGCCCGCACCCTCTCATGGTGAACCTGACCACGGCGAGTCTGGAGCCCGCACCACTCAGCACTGGCTGGAAATCCGGGTCGCTCCCGACGGGCTTCACCCCCACCATCCTCACAGAGAGCCCGGCAGGGTGGCCGCGACGCCACTGGCCTCCAAACTGAAGGAGAAGATGATCTGGGAGAGGAAGCAGAGACGCTCAGGAAGGCCGAGGCCTGGACAGAAGAGGTGGCGACCGCCGCGTCTTCTCCCGGGACTCTCAGTGCCGAGTCATGCCAGGCGGCGGAGCGGCCCAAGGGGCGGGGAGGGATCGTTGAATTTATTTTTAATTTTTTTTTTTTAGTGGAGACAGGGTTTTGCCATGTTGGTGAACTCTTGGCCTCAAGTAATCCGCCCACCTTTACCTCCCAAAGGGCTGGGATTACATGCGTGGGTCACCGCGTCTGGCCATTTTGTTGAATTTTTTTATTGACATATGATAGTTATATATATTTTGGGGGTACCTGTGATATTTTGATAGATGTATACAATGTGTGATGATCAAATGAGGGTAATTAGAAAATTCATCACCTCAAACATTTATCTTTTCTTTGTGTTGGGACACTCCTTGTGTATACCTTTCCTCTCCCCCTGGTAGTCACTACTATCCTGACTTTTGTTATTAGTCATTTTCTTACTGTAACTAATAATTATTTAAATTATTAATTTTGAGTTAATACAAATTCATAGGCAGTTGTGTGCCCTTTTCCTGTCTTCTCCTACCGTAAATCTTACAGAATTAGAGTATGATATCACAAGCAGGATATTGACATTGAAACAATTCACAGCTTTTATTCAGATTCACCCCATTTTACCTGTACTCATTTGTGTGTGTGTGTGTGTGTGTATACTTAGTTCTATACAATTTCACCACGCAATGTAGGCTTGTATATCAACCACCACAGTCAAGATACTGCACAGTTCCAATGCCACAAGAATATTTTGTCTTCCTTTTACAAATCCTTAACTCCTAGCAACCACTAATCTTTTCTCCATTTTTGTAATTTTGTCATTTCAAGAATGTTATATAAATGGAATCATAAAATATGTAAACTTTGAGATTGACTTTTTTCTTCATCATAATTCTTTTGATATTCTTCCATAATTGTCCATTGTTGCCTAATAGTTTTCTTTTTGTTGTTGTTGTTGTTTTTGCTTTTGCTTTTTTTTTTTTTTGAGACAGAGTCTTGCTCTGTTGCACAGGCTGGAGTACAGTGTTGGGATCTTGGCTCACTGCAACCTACGCCTCCTGGGTCCAAGCAATTCTCTTGCCTGAGCCTCCCGAGTAACTGGGATTACAGATGTGTACCACCATGCCCAGCTAATTTTTGTATTTTTGTAGAAACAGGGTTTCATTATGTTGGCCAGGCTGGTCTTGAACTCCTGACCTCAGGATCCCTCAGGGGATCCGCCCACCTCGGCCTCCCAAAGTGGTGCGATTAGAGGCCTCAGTCACCAAACTTGGCCTGTTATGTAATGGTTTTAACACATATATTTGCGTTCCTGAATAACCTATTCACTTTTATGTGTTTTTAAAAATAATTTGAATATTATAAGTTTTTTTGTAATTCACTTTTTACATTCAACTATATTTTTGATTGTGTGGCTTTATTGATGTGTGTGGCTGTGGGGTCATTTATTTTTATTGCATAAATTTATCACAATTTATTCATCCAATTAGTTATTGACAGATAATTGGGTTGTGTCTTTTATTTTTAGGTTGAGTTTTTATTTTTTGGAATATTATGAATGATGATACTATGAATATTCTTGCCTGTGACTCTTGGTTCACTAATGTATGAGTTTTTCTAGATTAAAAATGTGGGTTGGAATATCTGGCTCAATTTTACTAAATAAAGTCAAACCTATTGCTTGGTGCCCTCACCAATACTTGATATTTTCAGACTCCTCGATTTTGTCAGTCTGATATAAAACAGTATTTCATTGTCATTTTAATTTGCATTTTCTTGTTTATGAATGAGATTGAGCATCTTTTATATGTATGTTTATATATTAATGTTTTCCTGGAGATGCCCGTTCATGTCTTTTGCCATTTTTCTATTGAGTTTGTCTTTTTTTTAATTGATTCATAAGAGTTCTTTATATATTCTGGATTCTCATCATTTGTAAGAGAAATGTGTTCAAAAAGTTTACTCAGTTTATTGTTTAGCGTATCGTTCTCCTTATTGTGTGTTTTGATAAAGACATTCTTAATTTGTCTACAATTAAATTTATCAACCTTTTCTTTTCTTTTTTTTTTTTGAGACAGAGTGTGGCTCTGTTGCCTAGGCTGGGGTGCAGTGACATTATCTCGGCTCACTGCAGCCTCTGCCTCCCAGGTTCAAGCAATTCTCCTGCCTCAGCCTCCTGAATAGCTGGGACTACTGGTGCACGTCACCACTCCTGGCTAATTTTTTGTAGTTTTAGTACAGACGGGGTTTCACCATGTTGGCCAGGATGGTCTCAATCTCCTGACCTCATGATCTGCCCGCCTTGGCCTCCCAAAGTGCTGGGATTACAGGCGTGAGCCACCGTGCCTGGCCCCAACCTTTTTCTTTTCTAAGTTCACAGTTCTTCAAGGTGGAAACCATTTTTCTTTTGTGGTTTATTTTTTGGGTCATATTTAAGAAATTCTTTCTTATCCTGTGGTCATAAACATATTCTTCTACATTGTCTATATGCATATACGTGTATATGTATTCACACACATCTAAATGTTAAATCCACCAGAAACTGATATGTGTGTTATTCAGTTTCCTTTGTTTTTCTTTTATTTTTCCCAAATGGATAACCACTTGTTCCAATTCCATTTATTGAATATGACATCTTTCCCTGCTGCACTGCATACCCTCTCTCATAAATCAATGCACACATATGTGTGGGGCTGTTTCCAGGCTCGCTCTCAGGTACCACTGGTCCCTCTATGAAGGAATGCCACATCATTTTAATTACTATTGATATCTGATCGATCAAGTCTACACACCTTGTCCTTCAGGAGTGTTTCGACTCTTTCTTCTCACATGGAAGGACTGTTGGAAAGGGAATTTCATCAATGTCCGCGACAAAAAAGTAACTCTCAAGTATTTTTAACAATTGGTAGTAGCAGGCGGACAGATGAATGGTTGGACGATCTTTTCTGTCTTTTTGATTCTGACTCTTCAAGTCATGCAGTAAGGGTAAAATTTTCTAGTTGGATCGTAGGTTGTCTTTTTTAAATTCGTCTTGCCTATAAAGATTTTTGTTGTTGTGGTTGTTGGTGATTGTGCGTACGACACCGCGGTCGCTGTCTTTCTTTTTTCCTGTGGCCAGCGCTGGAGCTGCAGTGGCGCGCATACGCTCTCTATCGCTCATCAACCCTCCACACCGCCGGACTCAGTGACGCTCTCTCACCCTCAGCTCGGGGCCGAGTCTCTGGGACTCCACAACTCGGCTCGGGCGCACACGCACCCCCGCTCGCTCAGCCATCAACGCTCTCTTCACGCTCACTTCCTTACTTACACACAAACACGCCGGTGGCACGATATCTTTAACACACACATCAATCTCAGCTCGTGCGCTTTGTTAATTTTTGCTGTGTTGTTAAATCAATTTTTTTGATTAGTCTTTTATTTTTCTGACTTGTTGCTGGCATTGGGAACAAGGTTTAATTGACACTTCCATAACTTACACACTCCAGAGTTTTCGTTTCGGGTGTGTCGTTTAGCTCTTTGGGGTCTGGTTCTTCTTCAATCTTTCTTTCTTTTCTTCTTCCTTCTTCCTTCCTTCCTTCTTCTTCCTTCTTCTTTCTTCTTCCCTTCTTCCTTTCTTTCTTCCCTCCTCCTCTCTCCTTCCCCTCCTCCCTTCTCTCCCTCCTCCTCCTTTCCTTCTTTCTTTCCTTGCTTTCTAGACGGGAGTCTCGCTCTAACATCTCTGCCCAGGCTCAGTGGGCATGTTGGGGCTTGGTCGTGGTGGCGATCTCCTGGCTCAGCTGCAACTCCACTCCGGGTTCCAAGTGATTCGCCTGCTCAGCTCCCGAGTACCTGCGAAACTCACAGGCACAGGCGCCACACACGTCCCAGCTAAATTTTTTGTTTTTTTAGGTAGAGACGGGCTTTCAGCTATGTTGGCGCAGGAATGGTCTCGATGCTCTTGAGCCCCCTCGTGATCCGCCCACTTCGCTCCCAAGAGTGCTTGGAATTACAGGCATGAGCCACTGTGCCCAGCCCACATTCAGATTTTCTACACTGCGACCTTGCTAAACTCTCTTATTAATTCTAATAACTTATCTGCAGATTCTTTTGGGTTTTCCATAGACAATGATACTGACTACAAACAATAGTAGTTTTGCTGTTTTCCCTTATAATCCTTACATTCTTCTTTCTTCTTTTTTACGGATCACCTGAGGTCGGGAGTTCGAGATCAGCCTGACCATCATGGAGAAACCCCATCTCTACTAAAAATACAAAAAATTAGCCAAGCATGGTGGTGCATGCCTGTAATTCCAGCTACTCGGGAGGCTGAGGCAGGAGAATCGCTTGAACTTGGGAGACGGAGGTTGCAGTGAGCCAAGATCCTGCCATTGCACTCCAGCCTGGGGGACAAGAGCGAAACTCTGTCTAAAAAAAAAAAAGAGTTTAAATAAAGTTTCCTTAGGAATATTTTCTCAACATCTTACCCTCTCCTTATTGCTCTGTGCTCCAGGGATGCCATTGAGCAGGTTTGTACCTGCCTCCTTTCAACCTGACTATATATTACTGGAGAAAAGAAGTCTTAAGTGAGGGTGCAGATGGCGGCTTTCAAGAATTTGAAGAACTACCAAGGGGAGGGAGTGCAGGAGGAGGAAGTGCAGAGGGAGTCTCGGCAGCCCTGGGTGACAGAATAAAAGGGGAGATGGAAGGGCAGGAAAGCAGATTTCCACAAGCAGAAAGAGAAGCTTTTTAGCATCATTGTTGTCTAACCAGAGAATAGGTTGCTTTTTGAGACAGTGAGCTTCCCAGCTCTGGAAGTACTCAAGCAGGGCTAGATACACACCTACCAAGGATGCTGTACAGACCCCTCACCCCCAATATTGGGTGGGGTATGGACCACATTATGTCTCCTGTCTCTTCCAACTTCAGTCTTGAGATTTGTAAAGAATTGGATTCATTTCTTCTTTTTTTAAAATTGAACTTGGTTTTATTAACATCTTGTGGGTGTTTTTAAGTTCTGAGTATTCAACTTTGACTATGACGAAAATGTCTAATTTAAAGAGGTAACAAGGTATTTAACACATTGTGTAATATGAGCCAGATAAATTGCTTTCATAATGAGGGCTCCGTCCAAATAAGGCAGAGGCCATGATCCCAGGTGGAAGGAATGGAAATGAATCTATTTCAAGGCCAATAGCTACAGCCCAAATTCACTCAACTCTACCAAACGTACCTGCACTGCCTCAGCAACTCATCTCTACAATTTGACAAGACAATCAAAAGTACATTTTGTACTTAATGTAATAAGAGGCTCAGATATAAATACCTACTTTTATATATTTTTAACTTATGCAGATAGTTTGTTATTTAACAAATAGGTTAAGCTGACTTTGTTGCAAATGAGATATGAGGACGTGCATATGAAGAATAATTGGGCTGGGAGCAGTGGCTCACACCTGTAATCCCAGCACTTCGGGAGGCTGAGGCGGGTGGGTCATGAGGTCAGGAGTTCGAGACCAGCCTAGCCAAGGTGGTGAAACCCCGTCTCTACAAAAAATACAAAAATTAGCCAGGCGTGGTGGCAGGTGCCTGTAATCCCATCTACATGGGAGGCTGAGGCAGGAGAATGGCTTGAGTCCGGGAGGCAGAGGTTGCAGTGACCTGAGATCGTGCCATTGCACTCCAGCCTGGGCAACACAGTTAGAGTTTTTTTAGACAGAGTCTTGCTGTCACCCAGGCTGGGGTGTAGTGGGGCAATCTTGGCTCACTGCAACCTCTGCTTCCTAGGTACAAGTGATTCTTCTGCCTCAGCCTCCCGAGTAGCTGAGATTACAGGCGTGCACCACCACATCTGGCAAATTTTTGTATTTTTAGCAGAGGTGGGGTTTCACCATGTTGGCCAGGCTGGTCTCGAACTCCTGACCTCAGGTGATCCACCTGCCTCGGCCTCCCAAAGTGCAGGAATTACAGATGTGAGCCACAGCGCCCGGCGGAACTTGAATGCCATTTGGTTTCTCATAGCCTATTTTCCCTCCTTCTTAAAAAATGGGACAAATAATATTACCAAATGAATGTAAATAAAGACATTTAGGAAATAATGTGGAAAAGTTTTAAAGTGTTATTTACTTTTTCTTTTCTTTTTTAATTTTAGATTCAGGGGGTACATGTGCAGGTTTGTTACATGGGTAAATTGCATGATGCTAAAATGTGGGCTTCTAATGATCCTATCTCCCAAATTGTAAACACAGGCCGGTCGTGGTGGCTCATGTCTATAATCCCAGCACTTTGGGACGGCGAGGCAGGCAGATCACTTGAGCTCAGGAGTTCGAGGCCAGCCTGGCCAACGTGGCAAAACCTCGTCTCTACTAAAAATACAAAAAGTAGCCTAGTGTGGTGGCGCATACCCGTAGTCCTGGCTACTTGGGAGGCTAAGGCACGAGAATTGCTTGAGCTCAGGAGGCGGAGGTTGCAACGAACTGATCTCTCACCATTGCACTCCAGCCTGGGAACAGAGGGAAACTACGTCTCAAAAATAAAATGAAAATAACAACAAATAGTGAACATAGTACCTGATAGGTAGTTTCTCAAACTTTCCCCCTTCCTTCCCTCCCCACTTTTGGAATCCCCCTTGTTAATTGTTCCCATCTTTGTATCTGTGTGTACCCAATGTTTAGCTCCCACTTCTAATTGAGAACCTGCAGTATTAGATTTTCTATTTCTGAGTTAATTTGCACTGGATAATGGCCTCCAGCTGCATCCATGTTTCTGCAAAGATGTGATTTCATTCTTTTTTTGTGGCAGCATAGTATTCCAGGGTGTATATATACCATATTTCCTTTATTCAGTCCACCATTGATGGGCAACTGGGTTGATACTATGTCTGTCCTATTGTGAATAGTGCTGCAATAAACACACGAGTGTTTATTGGTAAAGCGATTTATTTTCCTTTGGTTGTATACCCAGTAATTGGATTGGTGGGTCCAATGGTAATTCTATTCTTAGTTCTTTAAGAAATCTCCAAACTGCTTTCCACAGGGACTGAATTAATTTGCATTCTCACCAATAGTGTATAAGCATATAATAGCAGTGCAAGAAAATAAGAATTGGGTTCATTTCTTATCCTACTTTCTGGGATACTTCATCAACGCCTCTCATAAAACTTAGAAAACCGACCTTACAATGGAGGCAAGTCAACCAAGATGAAAGCTGGTTCTTTGTATATGTTAATAATTTTGATAGACCCCATCACGTCTGATCAAGAAAAAAAAAAGAGAAATAAAACACATTAAAATTCCTTTCTCCTCAAGAAGCACCCAGCAAATATAGTAGGTGTGCATCCAGTGATCATAGAATAAAAGTGTTGTTATCCTGTTAAGTCTTCATCCCCAAACCTCTAAAGGCTGCATTCCTTTGGAGGTTTCTAGCCTTATACCTCATCGTCCTATAATCTTTTTAAATAATACAAGTAGGTAAAGTAGTCAAGGCACTCACTGGTTTGAAAACCTGTGAAAGAAAAAAAAGCTTTATAAATGGAGTTGACAGCCTCTTCCGTAAAATTGGGACTTCTGAACCAAGTGAAGTTTTGAAGATTTTTGAAGACTGGGAATAATTCTGTAGCTTCATAGTTGTACTTTATTTTTACTCTTCCATTCACCCAAGCTCCTTCTTTCTAGCAAATCCCGTTTGTTGGCGGATAAAAATACATCTGCAGAGTCTCCCGGAAGCTGCCCCATCAGCCTCGTAGACAAGAAGCCTTGTTTTCCTGCACCGCCACAGAAATGTCTTCCTCCTCCTCCTTCTCCGGCTCACTGGGATCAAAGTCTTTTTCGTTCTTAGCTGGTTTTCCTTACAGAAAAGCTGGAGTTCAGGGTTCAGTTCAGAGAGGGTGACTCCTTGAGGGCAGACCTAGAGGCGCCGCGCACCGGTCCCGCCTGCAGCCCCGGCAGAGCTGCGCCCCGGCTGCCTGCGCCGCGCGAGTCCGCCAATAACGCCGAGAAATCCGTTACCAGGCGGCTGTGTCCCCAAGGGCCATTCAGGGCGGAAGGGAGCAGGGAAAACCGCTGTGTTGATTCCCGGGCGCTGTAGGCTGCGAGCGCAGAGGGTCAGGTTACAGGCAGGTGAGGCTGGCTGTTGGGTGAGCAGTGGGCTCCAGGGCATCCCTGGTCAGACGCGCCCCCGCAGCACTCGGCAGCTGGCACACGTCTGACGACCTCCTGGAGGAGGGCGACCGCAGCGATACAGGAGGCTGTGCCCGTTGTCCTGGGCGCACCCGAACAAGGCCTTGGGAAGGGCAGCGCGCCCCCCAACGTGAGCACAACTGCTTTAGAAACTTGGCATATTTTACCAACTCCCCCTCCTTCTCTCCCTCTCTCCTCCAGGCATAAAGGTTGATAGGAACAAACAGATATAATAATAAATGCAAAGCTTTCCTACCTCCCCGGTAGGGGCGGCGAGAAGATGTAGCCAATGTTCACTATACTGGCTTCCTGGAAAGGTATTTCCCAGTCTCAGAATTTGGGGATCGGGTGGTTAGGGGAGGCAATGGTGGGAGTGGACGAAGATTGGGGGCTTGTTTTGAGGCTGCATTTGCTTAATATGCTCCTGGCTTTTGTTTCTATTGTGTGTTTACTTGGAGTGAGGGGGCCTCGGGGTGCAACATCTTGTGGGGAGAAGCTGCTTTGGCGGGGCAAGCCCTGTTTTTCTTAAATTGTATGATACTAGTCAGAAAAATAACGTGTTCTAAAGATGCCGAATTTTTAAATTTATTTTTACTGCTTTTGCGGGGGGAGTTGTAGTTGATGGATAGCTTAAGCTCCTAAGCCCCCACCCCCCATTATTAATAATCAGAATCCTTGGAAGTCTCCCGCCGCCTCGCCCTTCTGACCGCCCAGATTTCATCAAGCCCCGGGAAGGCTCCACAAGGTCCAGAGGAACTGAGCCATTTTCTGGCTCGTCGAAGACAAATCCACCGGGCGGGGGAGGGGGGCAACTCGTGGGAGGCCCCAACTCACCGGAAGGGTGCCCTGGGAGGCGAACCTGGGGTTTACTTCGAAGAGCTCGCCTCGAGGTGCAGGTGATGGGAGAATGGGGCGGGGGTTGATTAAAAAATGTTCTTCCTTTCTTAAAAAGAGGAGGGGGAAGAGCAGACTTTAAATTCTTTTGCAAACATTCATGCCTAAGGAAGGGCTGGAACAGGCAGCCCCGGCCGCCGGAACCGGTCGGACAGGTAGCGAGCTTGTTGACACCGTTATGTTGCAGGGCGCATGCTCACTCCCAAGTTTCCTGGTGCCTTTTCTATTCCACCTTATGAAACTTTTTCCCCGGCGTGGTCTCACTCGCGATTTAAGGCATAGGTGTCGCCCAGCCGGGAGGCTGGGAGTCGCCAGGCGTGCGGGGGAGAGGCCTGGGCCGCGCCGCGGCGGGGGGTGGAGGAAGAGGGCAGGCGAGGCGGGAAGGTGGGCTCTGGCCGCCGGGAGCCGGGGACGGAGCCGCCGCCGTCGCCCCTAGCGGGGAGCAGCCGGGAGGAGGGGGCCGCGGTCGGGAGAGGGGACCCCACCATGCCCAAAGTCTTCCTGGTGAAGAGGAGGAGCCTGGGGGTCTCGGTCCGCAGCTGGGATGAACTCCCGGATGAGAAAAGGGCAGACACCTACATCCCAGGTGAGCGCGCGCGGGGGCCGGGCCTGGGCGCTGGGCTCCCGGGGTGGGGGAAGGGGTGGCGGGTCTTCTCCGCTCATCGGCAGGGGCGGGCTCCCCACCTCATCCCCTCTTCCAGGGGGCACGCGGGGGTCTTCTAGGCGAGGGAGGGTGGGCAATGAGGGACTGGGATGCCCGGGACTCTGGGCGCCCCCTTCCCCCTAGTGGGAGCCTCTAATTGCCCGGCGGCAGGACCGTTGGCTGCAGCGCGGGCCGAGGTGGCCCAGGAAAGGGATTGAAAGCCAGCAGGGGCTACCCCCAATCTCACGTCCTCATGGGGGTGCACAAAGGCCCGACAACCCTTCTGGGGCTAGCTGGGGAGAGGTCAGACCCGCCTCCCCCGCCCAGAGAGGAAACTTGGCGCGCAGGGTCCTCCGCCGCGCGTGGCCACCGGGTTCCTCGTGGGCGCCAGGGCTGGGACCGGGAAGAGGCCCCCAGCACTCCAAGCTAGCCGTAGGGGTCGATCCGGGGCTTACTCGCCCACCCCCGCGACGTTGCCCACTTGGCGAGGTGCCCAGGTCCGGGGCGGGGCGGCGGCAGCACCGCCCGCAGGTCAAACTGCCGCGGGCGTACGGGCTGACGCCGAGTGTGTATGTCGGGGCGCGGCCCCTCCCTCCGCAGTGGGCCTGGGCCGCCTGCTCCACGACCCTCCCGAGGACTGCCGCAGCGACGGCGGCAGCAGCAGCAGCGGCAGCGGCAGCAGCAGCGCGGGGGAGCCTGGAGGAGCCGAGAGCAGCTCGTCCCCGCACGCCCCCGAGCGCGAAACCCCCGAGCCTGGCGACGCCGAGGGCCCCGATGGACACCTGGCGGCCAAGCAGCGCCCGGTCGCCAGATCGAAAATCAAGGTACTGTGTCGACTCTGCCCCCGCCGCCACCTGCACCACGCCCTGGCGTCGGGCTCCCGGGGCCGGCGCCCCTCCCTGCCGCGCCCGCCCGCGCAACCCGGCACCCGCGCCCCGAGCGCGCCCGCCGCGCAGCTCCTGCACCTGCCCCTGGGCGGCGGCCAGGGCGCCTCGGCGCGTACTCCCGCCTGCAGGGTAGCTGCTGCGCAGGGGCGGCCTGTTCCCAGAGTGGGCTCTGTCCACCCGGTGGCCCCGCCTGATATCGAGTGCTGCCTCTGGAACTGCGGAAAAGGCACTGGCATCGCTGCCTTCCGCCAGCAGCCCATTCTGTGCGCCAGGCCTGTAGAATAACGAAGGCCGTCGGAGTTCCCGAGGTCGGAAAGGAAGCCCCCGCGCTCTGAGAAATTTCACCCTCTGAAACGCAGTTCCTGGCGCCGCGGTTCTGAGAGTTCACCCCCCATGCTTATGTTCTGGATATGGGCGGCAGCTTGACACATAGTGGGCTTCTCCCAACACGAGCGGTTCCCAGTGTCTGTTAGACAGGAGGCTTGTGCACGGCACTTTAGGTCTGTCATCTTTCCAATCTTGAATTAAGTTGATGGGTAAAAGGGTTCAACTACCGATTTCTCGAGCGCCCTTACACCAGTGGATTGGAGTGTTTGCTCCCATCTATGGTCGCTTTTCAGGGCCCCCTCGAACATTCTGGACGCCCACCTGCGCTTTCGGGCAGAACTTCCATGATGGTCTGCTCAAAGGTATCAGCTACCCACCAAGATTTAGGAATCCCATTCCACTGACTCAGCCAGCTGGAGCTAGTGGGTGGCGGTTTATGATCACTTGACCCCACTTTCTAGCCTGGTGGGCCGCAGTGCGACGCTGTGCACCCCCAGGTCCCCGGTATAGGTGGTAATTCCAGGGTTCTCCGGTGCCCTCCCGCCACCCAGACCGGGAGTAGAGGGTGGGGAGGGAGAGCCTGGGCTTTGCTGTGGATTGAGAAAGCAGTCCTCTTTTTCCTGGGAGAGGCCACCCCTCCCCTATGCACATTGCATATTCCCAGGGTTTGACTCCGGGGTGGGCTGAAGCGCATTTGGTTATGAATTGAGGTTTGAGGCTTCAGCTGGGATCCAAAGGAAAGACCTCTTTAAAAAAGAAGTGCCGATACTGTGCGGTCCGGTAGCCTAGCGGTAAGTGTGAGGGTGAGGTTCAAAGTCAACTGGCCTGAGGCTCTTCTGGGCCAGGTGGGGTTAAATGGGAGGGAACAATTTGCCTGAGGCTGGTAGCTCTGCCCTTCGGGAAATTCTACAAAGTGTCCCACTTGCATATTTATCACCAGGCTGAAAGGACAATTGCAACGTTGTTTTGGGAGCCTCTGCAGCTAGTTTGCCCCTCTGTCCCCCAATTGCCCAGATTCCCCTGGAGAGAAAGTGACAGATTCTCATCCAGTCTCTTAACCAACATTTTAGGCAATCTTTTCTGCCTCAGGCACACAGGGCCGTTGGAATCCTGGATTAAAGGAAGACGTAAACCAATCTGATTTCCTAGATTAGTTGCCTGTTCTCTGGGGGAAGTGGGGCAGAGAGGCACAATTCACTCCTGAACCGTTAAAAGTCTTCTTTCCATAGTTTCCAGGGGAGTTTTTATTTACTGGGGATGTTTAGCTTCCTTCTTTCTGCCTCTACCCTCAAAAAGGAGACATTTTGGTGTTAATATGCGCCAAGCCTCCAGAATTATCATCAGCCGTGGCATTGGCAGTTTTCAAATGACTGAACGAATTGCCTATATAATTATAAAGTTCTTTCCAAGGCATGCTGAACTCACAGAGTTTCTCTAAGAATTAGTTTCTTTTCTTTCTTTTCTTTTCTTTTTCTTTTTTTTGAGACAGAGTTTCGCTCTTGCTGTCCAGGCTGGAATGCAATGGCTCGATCTCAGCTCACTGCAACCTCTGCCTCCCGGGTTCGAGTGATTCTCCTGCCTCAGCCTTCCAAGTAGCTGGGATTACAGGCATGTGCCACCACCGCCTGCTAATTTTGTAATTTTAGTAGAGATGGGGTTTCTCCGTGTTGGTCAGGCTGGTCTTGAACTCCCGACCTCATGTGATCCGCCCACCTCGGCCTCCCAAAGTGCTGGGATTACAGGCGTGAGCCACCGTGTCCAGCCAAGAATTTGTTTCTTAGGCAGTGGGCTCCCGGGACCACAAGAAAGGCAGGTTTGAGCCATTGCCTGGCACAGAGAGGCAACACTCTGCCCATCTAACACCTGGGGTGTGCAAGGCAGCGGGAGGTAAAAATGCTCCCAACCTGGTGTTCCTTCCAGAATCATCTGGTAGTAGCTGTTATTAAGCATGTAAGCGCTGGCTTTGTCACTTCTTAGCTGTGTGACCTTGAGCAAGTGGCTCACCCTCTGGGCCTCAGTTTCCTTATCTGTAAGATGATAATAATGATACCTACTTGATAGCATTGTGAGGATAAATAAGTGGAGGGTAGAACATGGTTTGTGTCCAATAACCGTAGATAGTATTTGGGTTAATAGGGAGACACAAACATTAACTCTGCTGCAGGACCGTGAACGTGAAACCAGAATTCCAAGCAAAGATGTGACCAGTTTGAGTGGGGAAGGTGTCCTGATGTGGATTTGAAAGCCGGGGAGAAGGGAGGGGGTGGGCCTGAGGGCAGTGTGGGCTGAGTCCCGCAGCTGGAGCATAGAAAGGATGAAGCTGTGGTGGCTGAAGATAGGAAACAGGGCTTGCTGGGGTCAGGGAGAGAGTTGGCGGTAAAGAGCTAGAAATGTAACCAGGACAGGGTGAGATGGTGAAGGGGCCAAGCCAAGAAGTGTGGGTGCTCCTGCTGGGCAGAGGAGAAGCTCTGGATGATGTCAGAAGGAAAATCCCAATCGTGTTCCTCTTTTTTTTTTTTTGAGAGAGAGTCTCGCTCTGTCGCCCAGAGCTGGAGCACAGTGGCACAATCTCAGCTCACTGCAAACTCCGCCTCCTGGGTTCAAGCAATTCTCCTGCCTCAGCCTCCCGATTAGCTGGGATTACAGGCATCTACCCCAAAGCCTGGCTAATTTTTGTATTTTTAATAGAGACGGAGTTTCGCCATGTTTTCCGGGCTGGTCTTGAACTCCTGACCTCAGGTGATCCGCCCACCTTGGCCTCCCAAAGTGCTGGAATTACAGGTGTGAACCATCACACCCGGCCGGCCAGTCGGGCCCCTCTTAACGGCTGTGGTCATGGATACATTATCTCCTCTGGGCCTCAGTTCCTTGATCTGTAAAGTGGAGGACTCAAACAATCAGCCTCCTACAAGAGTTGCATAGATTAAATGAGATAGTGAGTGTAAAGTGTTTAGCTTTCTGCGTATGTGTAAACTGCCCAAGAGGAAGTTAGCTGATAGTGACATACAGCAAGTTTTAATGCCCAACATTTTGTTGGCTGCAGTAAGGACACGGATCTGGAAAAGGAGTCCGAGGCGCAGGTTAAGAAATGTAGCTGGCCTTTCCCAGCCCATCTGCCTTTTGATGGTGTGCCTCAGGGCAGATTGTGAAATTGTCTCTTTACTGCTGAGAATTCTGTAATTTGCCAAACAAATAGGGGTGAGAAGATGACTTACATTCCACAGAGTGTACACGGCAGGTCCCTTTTGTGCTGGATCCATCTGCCGGTCTCCAGCTGCAGGGTGGAGAAACCCAGGAAATACTAATCACCATTGTCCTGTGGAGGCTTATTAGAAACTAAGTAACTCTGAAGTTAACCCAGTTGACTGATAGTATTCATTCGTGATTCTCTGGCTGGTAGGACCCAGGTCCCAGTATGGAGTACCAAGGGAATTTGTCCTCTCACCCTGTCCTATTCTGTTCTTTCTTTTTGCCTTCTTCCGTGGGTTCTTCAAAATAAAGTAAGTTTAGATTCTTTCAAAAGTATTCTTGGCCTTTTACTCGGCTCTCTAACGAGTCTTGTAGTGGTGCAGATGTGTGTTTATGGAGTAGTTCCCATACCCCCATCACTTTGTATTATTTAGAATCTCAAAGGCACAGTGGTATGTATCTGCCACCCAGCCCCAACAGCCCCGTGGCCATTCCTGCCCAGACACACCCCCACCCCTTGCCCCACACATGATTTTGAAGCAAATCTAGGACATCATACCATTTCAACCACAAATCGTTCAGAATGTGCGTTTAGTGGATAAAAACCAAAATTCATGATCACACCCACATTACCAATTGTGTTCACGTTACTAATTGTCTCATAAATTCTTACTTTTCCCCTCTAGTTTACTTAATCAGGTCCACATAATGTCTACACGTTGTAATTGATTGGCATGTCTTTTGAGCCTCTTTTAATTTCATACATTTTCCCTCCATCAAGTTAATTGCTGAAGAAATGGGTGATTTGTTTTGTAGAGTTCCCAACAGTCTGGATTTTGCTGAGCACATCACCATGTGCCTAACATTCCTCAGTCCCCCCTAGGTTTTCTCTAAACAAGTAGTTGGATCTGCAGCTGCAGCATCCAGTATCACATGTGACTATCACAGCCGTAGTCAATTAAGAATGAACAATTAGACCAGGTGCCGTGGTTCATGCCGGTAATCCCAGCACTTTGGGAGGCCGAGGCGGGTGGATCACCTGAGGTCAGGAGTTCGAGACCAGCCTGGCCAACATGGTGAAACCCTGACTCTATTAAATAAATACAAAAAAAAAATTAATGGGGCTTGGCGGCATGTCCCTGTTAATTCCAGCTACTCGGGATGCTGAGGCAGGAGAATTGCTTGAACCCGGAAGGCAGAGGTTGCAGTGAGCCAAGATTGCACCACTGCACTCCAGCCTGGACAACAGAGCCAGACCCCATCTCAAAATAACAATTAAGTTCCTCATTTCCACAAGTGACATTTTAAATGCTCAGTAGCCACGTGTGACTAGTGGTCAATGTACTGGACAGTAGAGAATATAATTTTTCTGTCACCACAGAAAGTTCTATTGGACAATGCAACTCTCCCCACTTGGTCAG